ATCTCTGAGCCCCGGCCCCACTTATCCCATCACGATCCAGAATAGCCTCCTAAAAGGAGGTCTAAACCATCAAGAAGATCACTGACGGCGCACGTACCGCTCCGTACTCGGGACCGACGAGGGTGGCACCACTACCCGGCCAACTTGCCTCCTTCCCGGTTGTGCTTCTGTGACTACTGCACCTGTAAACCACCGCCACGCTCTCTTCCTGCTTCAGCCGTTACGGCTTCTTCGGGTTCCTGACATCTCGCTTCCGGTTCCGGCCTGTTGCCGACTACCCGGAAGCCGCATCTAAAGGAAAAAACCATTGAGAAGCCTTCTATCTCCAAGGGGAGAGCCGATCTGGCAGCAGTTAGAGAGGCTGACGGCGTCATCTTGACTGAGGGCATATATCCCTTAGGATATGTTCCAAGTGCCCACCAGGGGCGCTGCTACACACCCAGCTGGAGCAAAAATCCGGCGTCTGAAACAGGAGGTCGCTGGCCGCAGGACAAAGCGACACATAGGCTTGCAGCGCTTCTCTTCAGGTCAGTGTCTGCAACGGAATGGAATCGACCCCCTCCATTCCGTCACGGAGGAATCGTCGGTCCTCATTCAGCCTGTGTCCTCTAGAGACATGAGTTTAAGATTTACAGTGCAATCTCCCACGTAGTTTCTCCAGTAGCGACACTGAAAACATGAATCACTTTTAGACATGTTATAAACCACCTGTAAGAACAGGGCTCAATTCTTTATGACCAACCAAACACACCAATGTATTGTACTCTGCCAAGTGCTTGACAAGCCCCTGTGCTTTTGCACTGCTGGACACACAGTAAAAACAAGAAGTTTATTTCAGGTGGCCATACTCTACTAGTAGGCAGCATGTAGTTTGAGGATAAGAAGTTATAGGTAAAGGTTCCCTTGCTCGAAAGCCAGTCGACTCTAGGGTTGCAGTGCTCATCTCCATTACAAAGCCGAAGAGCCAGCGCTGTCCAAAGACGTTTCCGTGGTCATGTGGCTGGCATGACTAAACACCAAGGCACACAGAACGCTGTTACCTTCCCACTGAAGTGGTACCTATCTACTTGCAATCTCTCGCTTTCGAACTGCTAGGTTGGCAGGAGCTGGAACTAGAGACGGGAGCTCACTCCGTCATGCAACAGCTCGGTCTCGAACTGCTGAACTACCGACCTTCCACAGCCTGCAGTTCAGCGTCTTAACCACTTGAGCCACCGCAGCTCCTTAAGAAGTTATGCAGGTCAGTATAATACAAAGGGTTTTTTTAGGCATTCTGCTTATAGTTCTTTCCATCAATACAGTCTCATATCACAAACAAAATAACCTGCATCATGTTTTTCAAGAATCACATTAAGTTCCAGTTATTCCCAAGCAGGCATGTTTAGAACTGAAACTTTGGCGTACTTGTCTGAGCTTTTGTATGGTTTGTCTCAGGCTACAAAAGACATTATATTTCTGTATGCATACAAATTGGTAGGGAAAAAGCTTTTTTCTGAGCAATATGGAATAGTAGAGAGGGGCCCCTGCCACACGAGGGAAGAAAGGGACGGCCAAAGTGCGGCTTTTAAAAGCCGCACCTAAATAGGCACGCGGTGGCGGGATCATACAGATCCTGTGAGCCGCTGTGCATTTGCTCCCCGGCACGATCAGATGCCGGGGAGACAGGGAGAAAGCCATGGGAGTCTGCTGAACTGCGCATGTCGGAGCATGCGCAGTTCGGCAAGGAGCCGGGGATGCGCCGGTGGAAGAACACGCCGGCGATCCCACGGCCGGCGTTGCTGCGACCGTTCGGAAAGAACCACCTAGGTAGGTGATTCTTTTTTGGTGCGGATTATCGCCAGAAGGGCCGGATCGGGGACAGGCACGCAACGCTTCCCAGATGTTGCGGTGGGATCCCGCCCGTTTGCTCCGCCCCGATCCGTCCCTCTCCCGGCCCTAATCCTCTCGTGTGGACGGGGCCAGGGATGCAATTCAGAGTTATAAATCCTGGTTTTCTTTACTGCCATTGAAGGCCATAGACTGATTCCTTTGTATAACTTTCTACAACTATATAAATGAAAGGCAGATCTAAAAGAGTGCAGGTAGCAGTTCAATGTAAAACTCTCAAAGCATTTTTTTAAACCAGCATGTATAACAGAACTTCATTGGCTTTTCCTCTTCTCTGGTTTTTCGTGCAGTCCACCTTTCTTTGATTCCTTGCAACCAGTACCACCTTCTACCCGACATATATTTAACATTATAGTCCACCTTTCTTATCAGGATTCAAGGCGGGTTACCCAGAAGAAGTCAATACAATCAACAAAGGACATCCAATAGACAATGCAATAGGATTTGACTTGCAGAAATCTGGAACTAAGCAGATATCAGAAACAGCAGTGAAGTAAAGGAGTTGTGAAACAGGATTTGTACACTCTCGATGCTTACACGCAGAAAGCAAATTTTGCAAAGGAATGCAAACACAAAGATTGCTGCAGGATACAGTACAGGTGATTGGGACATAGGGACAAATATGTAATTAGTCAACTTGAAAGCCAGAATTTAACTGCAAATGAGCAGATGTCCTGCTGGAGAAAGGTGCGTCTCCTGTGTTAGAGAAAAGGAGACGAGACCAAGCTTTAACAAGCAGCATGGCACAAGCCAAGCGCAGTGACCTCTAGAGCTGATACACAGTGATATTTGTGGACCAATGAAAACTCGAACCCCTAGCGGGAATAAATATGTGCTAACTTTTATTGATGACTACTCAAGATACACTGTTACCCACCTAATTAAAGAGAAAAGTCAAGTGCTGGAAAAATTTAAAGAACAAAAAAAAAAAAAAAATAACAGATTTCAAAGAAAGCCACTAGCAATCCACACTGTTAATACACGGGACATGAGATGAAGAATTATTTGACGAACAAGGAACAGAACGTTAGCTTACAGTCCCATACACTCCAGAGCAGAATCGTGTAGCAAAAACGAAAAACTGTCCTCTAACTGAAATGTCTAGATGTATGCTCCTTGAAGCAGAGATACCGGACAAGTTCTGGGGAGATGCAACCTACCTGCAAAGCCATTTACCTATTAAAGGTGCAAGTAGTACACCATTTGAACTTACTGTGGTATGGGCACAAACCCAGCCTGAATCATCTAAAAGCGTTTGGATCAAAGGCCTACATTTACATTCCAAAAGAAAAATGGAGCAAGATACATCTTAGAGCAGAAGAAGGCATTTTGTAGGCTATGCACTGTTGGAAAAGGCAATGTCAGGGGGCAGCAAGAAGACAATTAGATAGGATAGTGAGGTCAACACCATCTCTCCTGTTAAGTGTCATTCCTTGTCTGTCTCCAGATTGCTAGTCTTAGGGCAATTTCCCGCTTCTTCTCAGAAGTGCAACACACAGTCTAACCCTCTTTCTCAGCTAGAGCTGTAGTTAGGAACCTATCTCATCTTTCCTATCACGAATGTTAATTCCTAAATAACCCTAAATAAATTCCGAAATAAATCTGCAAAGTGGTCTACATTGATGAAAGGGAGAAATCAAGCAACATGGAGAAAGCAGATATCAGTGAATCTACAGCAACAGAGAAAAATGAAGCTCAGCCAACAAAAACAGTGCCTCTGAGCACAATGGACAACACACTTGATGCACCTGCAGAACCTAAAGAACCAGAAGGGGCTGCAGAACCAAGTGTCAGACAAACAACCAGATCAAACAAAGGAGTACCACTAAGAAGACTTTCTTATCTAGCAAAGGCAGAAGCTATACCTGAGCCTTCCATATTGGAAGACATAGCAAAAGAAACAGAAAAGCAAAGCTGCAGAAAAAGGGATTGACTCTCTGATCAAGTCCCAAACATGGACACTTACAGAACTACCTCTAGGGAAGAGGGCAGTAGGATGCAAGTGGCTCTTGCATCCTACTGCCCAGCACCCAAGTCTCTCTGTACACTGATCAAAGGCCACTACCAACCCATCTGTGTCCGTCCATCCCCTTAGCGGCAAATGGTGGCCAATTTCAGTTTACGCTCTCTAATTTACTAATTTAAAAGGGTGATGCTGTGGTATGCAGTAGCAGCCATTACTAGATCACCTGTTGCTGTTGCCCTATGAAGGGCATTACTTCCAAGCCTGAAGTTGCCTTAAGTGTGGTTCGCATGTTGCAGGGACCCTAAAGACCCAGATCTAAACAGAAAATAGCCATATGTGCCTACACAGCACAGTACACACAAAGCCATCTGCATGAACAGCAATCACCTCCCCCCACCAAGACAGTGAAATGCAGCTTCCTGTTCAGAGCAAGAAGATTTGGTTTTCTCTCTCTCTGTGTGTGTGTGTGTGTAACAAACTGTAGTGGGTTTTATACAAAGACCCACGACCCTTGCTCATATCCTTACGATTTCTGGTCCCTCCCCCCCACTTTTCTTTCCTTTGGATTTTTTTAAATAGTTGCCCTTATTTTTGAAGCCTTTTTCAAAGTGACTTCTTCTTTTACCAGACGGAACCTTATTTGAAAATGTCTTCAGTAACAAAACGACACAACAAAATATTATTTAAAAGACTGAGATGGCAGCAACAGGCACGACGAAACTTTCTATTAAAGCAAGCAGAAAGGCTTATCTCAGGACACGGAACAGATTTTTCTTTCGTTAAGGCAGCCTGGGAAAATGTAGGTCAATTCCGTCATGCAACCCCTTTATGTAAAGGATGACAGTTCTCAGGTTGAGGGGTTTTCTTTTCCCGCCATCATTCCGAGCTTCTCGTTCTCAATACAGCAAAGCTCCAGAGAAAACCAACCAATCCCAGCTTTAGAAGACTAAGGAGGAGGAAAAGTGAACACTCCGCCTGTTCCATGACAGCCAATCTCATGCCTCTTATGTTCTCCAACCTCTCGCGACATTAACTTCTGCGATGTTCGGCTCTCGAACTACAACTCCCAGGAACCTCTTCGCATCAACCACCTTAGCCAATAGCCGTGCACACTGAGGAGAAAGTATCGCCACAGTGGGCAGGATTCGTCAGACCCAATCAATCTGAAGGGGGGAAGGGGTGTTTTGCTGCGGCAGCGGAAGCAACACTCCCGACTGAGCCCCCTCAGTGTCAGCGCAAGAAGTGACTGGGGGGGTGGGCCTTTTCCGAAAGTCTACACCGCATCCTGGGCTGCAGGTAACTCGGTGGATATGGGGAGGGTTCGTCCTGGAAGCGGGATTCCAGACAGATCCGTCGCTGCTTCAAGCCAAACGGTGGCAGGGACTAACCTAAGTAGAGCGACTCGTCCCCTCACGTTCGAGACAGTTACGCGGGGCTTTAAGGGGGGGACGCCGCAGCTTTTTTATGCTTGCTGAACATCCGGGTCCCCGGCTCTGCGCGTCTGTTTCACATAGTGATCAGGGAGGGAAAGGAGGCGGGCTCTGCCTACTCCTGATTAGCCATTACTTGCCTCCCGATTGGTAGCTAGGCATAACCTATCCTGGCTTTCCCATTGGTTAGTAGATTGTGCTTTACTCCGTCTGGAATTGGCCCATGCTGGAACGAGGAAATCTTCCCATTGGCTGGCTCGGAAAAGAGGTGGTGGCTTGATGGAGAATCTCATAGGCGGAGCGTATGCGAAGAGAAGAGCCCGGCCCAAAGCAGGCGAAAGGGGAGGAGCCTCGGGAGTCTCTGCATGCCTCGTTGCTCTTCATTTGCAGCCTCAGGCTGGGCGCTGTTGTGGTTCTGCTGGGCTTTTCGAGTCTTACTTTCGGTCGGGGATGCGGCATTAAGTCCGCCCGGCCTCGGTTGTCTGTGAAGCGAAGGAGCTGATGGGGCTGGGCTCGTGCAGTCACCGCAGGGAACGGCATAAAGCCCTCATAGGTCCGATGAGAAGGGGGTCGCCCTTTTGCTCTCACCCCTGGAGAGCATTCTGGTTCTGAGGGTGTCCGAATCGGAAAGCGGAGTGTTATTCCGGGAGCGGATCCTGTGGACGTGATTTTGCCCTCTCGATTTCGCTCTCTACAGGTACCGCAATCGTTTTAGAGTCCATAATGGTGCGGAAGCTTTCCTGAATTTCTACTACCTAGTGCTCAATAAGGAGCACGTATTACCTGGCTAAGAAATTCGGATGAAAATGTCCAAAACTGAACCTGTGTTTTACATCTGTGTGTCGTAAAGGGGGGTTGCAGAGAATAGGATAACATAATGGCTGGGTAGAAGACACCTGGGAAAGCGGGTGTTTGCATAAGTTTTTATGTGCTCACAAGTCACTGCCAATAATATTTAACCTGACCTTGAAATCAAACGAAAGATCAGCTCTATGCTAGAAGGCGACTTGCCCTTTTGTTCTGGTTCCACTGGCAACCCATTGTGCCATCTGATCCTGTGCAGGTGACTTCCACTGTGCTTAAGTGGAGGTTATACAGGACCTCAGTCTTGGTGCTGGTGTTACAGAGACCATCAGTACTGCTTTATTGAGCACTTTCTCTAAGGCTTTTGCATGGTTTAGCTATGCAGTTCAAGAGGCTCCAGATTGCAAAAAGGAGAGGTGGGGACATAGTAGGATCCCGGCTGCTTCTGGCCCCATGCACGGGAGGCAAAGGGTTTTCTGTTTTTAAGACATTTTACAGCTTTCTAGTGACGAGCAGTGTTCCCTCTAAGCTGAGTTAGTGTGAGCTAGCTCACACTAACTCAGCTTAGAGGGAACACTGGTGACGAGTAACACTTTGCCTAGTAAAATATGTTACTGTAGCAGCAATGCAAAACATCTGTGTTGCAGCAACTGGTATAACCTCACAATCAGACTGCGTAAACAGAGGAACAGTATAGTCTACAGATCTCTCAAGTGACAAAAATCTGTGTCTGTGAAGAGTAGACAGTACTGGACTACACAGACCAACAGTCTGCCTTAGTATAAGGTAGCTTTGTATGTTCAGATGTACAGGCCAGTCAGTGTTTTTTATATCTAGTTCAGAATTCCAGAAGCTTAAGCTGTTGTTGCACAGAATCAGGGGAATCTTCCTGGTTGCATTTTTACATTTCTATGACAGTAGTGTTTCACTCCACTGTTTTTGGTGTCATGGACAATTGCGCAAGCTCTCAGTTGGGTTTTTATAAATAATGTTTTTCAATATCTCAACCTCATTTGTTCTGGAATACATTGTGATGATTCCATACTATGCTGAAAACTGGGAAATAAGTTCAGCAAGCAAAAAGTCTCACTGACTTAAGCATATACTGTGTCTGGCTTCTAGCTGTATACAAAATACCATATAATCTACACAAATAATTCCTAATATCCATTACATTGTGTGTATTTGTTAATGATGTGTGGTGTAGTTTGTAGCATGTGATTAAATTCTTGTACACTAATACTTTGAAGCCAATGTTAAACTTACAAGATTAACAAGTACTATTAACTAATATTGCTAACTTTGATATTATGGGATCAGTACAACCTTGGGATCAGTACAACCTTGGAATTGTTAGATTTCTGTGCTTCAGTATGATCCTGATTCTAGCATCTCTCTTCAGGCAGGCTGTACATTTCAATATGTGTCAAGCCCAGATTTTTCATAATCATAGATTTATCATTTACAAATTGTAGCTATTTTTTGAACCCATGTTGTTTTTAGATGTTGCATTCTTATACATATTTAAGAGTAGCTTTATTGAACTTGGTTAAACTATTTACATTTATGTTAGATTCAGTATCTATAAGGAGAACCTTTCCTTGTCACTTGTTGGTAGCCACAGTCTAAAAACATTAGAGACTAGTCCAACTGAATTCATTAGGATTATTCATCAACAAAAGTATTCAAGACAGTGATCATATAAATGATCTATAATTCTTCGTATGTTTCACAGGTGAACATGAGTTCTCAACAGTTTCCCCGTTCAGGAGCCCCTCCCACAAGTTTAGGACCAGCTCCTCCTCCAATCTCCACCAGTGGATCTACTGGATTGATAAACCCAACAACTACAGGTAAGGCAAATATTGAATTTAGAGATGTCCTACCAAGTTTGTAACCCTAAGCATACTGTCCTGGAAGTAAGTCCCCATTGAAATTAAAGATGGTTATGTATCTTAGCCTTTTTAGTCTTTTATTCATTGTTTCATTTTTCTTCTCCAGTAGTAAGTGATGAACCCAGTCGAGAATCAGAAGTTCCGCCCAGAGATCACATAGTGCCAGGTGGTTCTCTGCAGTCTCGTGAGGAGAAGCAGGAAACAGTTGTTGTGCGCCCATATCCACAAGTGCAAATGTTGACTCAACACCACACAGTGCAGTCTGGTGCACCAGTTACAGTGACAGCTCCTCCAGCGCATTTAGCTCCAGCAGTGCCACTTTCTTTTTCTGAGGGACTTATGAAGGTAATAACAGCTCACATCCCATATTAGGAAACAGAGGACTTAATAACACTAATGCCATTGGCAGTTGAGAATTTGTTTAGCCAAGTTTAAAGCCTGAATGTCGCTTTCTCTTCACTTTAGCGGTTAAGTGTCTGGATGGTATCACAGAACAAAAAGGGGAAAATGCCAGGTGATAGCTGACTGATTTATTATTGTACAAAGTCCCTGCGTGTTTCACTGTGCAGGCTTTGTCAGGGGGAATCAGAGCATTCACCTAGTGCTGGAACTGTCCACAACAATTAAGTGGACAGTTCCAGCACTAAGTGAATGCTGTGATCCCCCCCCCCCCGACAAAGCCTGCACAGCGAAACATGTAGGGACTGTGTACAATAATCAGTCAGCTATCACCTGCATTTTTTTCCCTTTTTGTTCTGTCGGCACATTGCTGGGTGCAGCCCATTTTTTCTTCATCCCTCCAACATAAAAGCAAAATGTTTTCAAGGAGGTTGACGCCCTTTGTACTGTGTCAATAATATGATTGTTGTTTTCTGCAAAGGTTCTTTCTTTAAAACAATCCTCTACCAAGGAATCTTATTTACTGAAGTGTATATAATATTTAATGATTCAGACAATGGTTACCACTGAATTGCTCTACAGATTCCTCCCCCATGAGATAACCAGTGCATACTTGTACTGTTAACTTCTTATTTCTGTGTCACAGAGCACAAATAGCGACCATATTTCTCTGTTCTTTGCAGCCTCCACTGAAGCCCACCATACCTAGCCGTCCCATTGCACCAGCTCCGCCCTCTACTCTGTCAGGTCCTACCAAAGTCCCTGGGCAGGTCACTGTAACAATGGAGAGCAGCATTCCACAGGCCTCTGCTATTCCTGTAGCAACAATCAGTGGTCAACAGGTTATCTCTTTTATTATGTTAAAATACATGGTTTCTTGTTAAGACCACATGAAGGAAAGGGAAATTAGTCTGAAATGTTTGGTCTGCCTTTAGAAATGCATATTTAACCTGTACCATCATGTCTTTTTAAAAATATTTTTAATTGTAATTTTTTGTGCATGAAGTTTTCCCCCAAGGATTAGCTTTAGAAAGACATCTAATGTGAAACTTCTTGCCCTCAGGGACATCCCAGCAATTTGCATCATATCATGGCTACCAATGTTCAAATGTCAATCATTCGAAGTAGTGCTCCTGGGCCGCCACTACACATTGGAGCCTCTCACTTACCTCGAGGTATGGAATGTAATATTTTCTCTGGAGGAATGGTCCTGGAGTAATTTTGGACTGTGACTAATACGTCTTGTGGTAGAACATCTAGAGCAGACTAGATTTCTGATGTCACTGCTTGCAGCTATCTTGTCTTAGAATACTCTCAGGGTGTAGTTAGATTTACTGTATACTAGCATGTACTAATACACTGAAAAACAGAAATATGCTTTTAGGATATACCATGGGATCATATACACCTTCCAAACCACTAACCTTAGCCACAGTTAATCTCGGTGTTAATTGGAGTTACAGATCCTCAGATTTCTCTTGACCATGGTTTGCTAATTGGCCTCTGCTCTATTTTGAAAGGTACTCTAATTAGTTTTAATGCAGTTAATGTAGTACAGATATAACACTAAACTTTAGATTAAAACCATGCTTCTGAAAGGAGCTGGGAGAAGGTGAAATGCAGTCTCATAGCCCCAGAACACCAGTTCTGTCTGATATTGTCACCTAATTTTTACTTTTACATAAACTACTTGCTTTAAGTAGCATTTGAAACGGAGATGAGCACCGCAACCCTAGAGTCGGACTCAACTGGCTTTCGAACAAGGGAACCTTTACCTTTACTTTACTAGTGATTATACTTCCTCTGTTAGTCTTTATCTTTTATGTCAAATAGCAGTCACTCTGACTTTAAAAAAAATTGATTACCTATGTATATTTTAGTTATATGTGCGTGGGTTTTTTTCTTCAGGTGCAGCAGCTGCTGCTGTGATGTCCAGTTCTAAAGTAACAACAGTCCTGAGGCCAGCTTCACAGTTGCCAAATACAGCCACAGCTCAACCAGCAGTTCAGCACATTATTCATCAACCAATCCAGGCAGGTGTCAATTACAGAGTGTTGTAGTCAGACTGTTGTTAAATATTTTCAATCCCTTCCAGTGGGATTGTCGGGCTCCTGCTCCGGTCGCGGGTTGGCGCCTCCGGTGGCCGTGGCGCAAGGCGCGAGTTGTGGCTTTTTAAAGCCCTGATGGTCCCAGGGGCGGGCGAACTGGTCATCAAAGGAGGGTAGACGATGGGCCTCAGATTGGTAGGGGACGGGGTTAACAGCACCCCCGGCGTCCCTCTACCCGTTCTTTCCCCCTCTCTCTCGGGCTGCCAGTCATTGCTCCGAACCGCATCCTCCTTGTCTTTTATTCAGTTCCCCTGACCCTGGGACCGCCCCTCCATTCTCCCCTCGGGAGCCCCGCCCCCCTTGATAATGGGAGATGCCGACAGGGCGTCTCCCGGAAGCCGGTGGGCCCGCTACCAGCGGCCGCAGCGGCCAGCGGGCACCTCCGTTGCCGTCGCTGCCGTCTGCTCCTCTTCTCCTGCGCCGCGCTCCGAGTTCCCGCCGGTCCTCCTTGGCCCCGCCCGGCTGCTGCTTCGTCCCGTGGCCCGGAGCCGCGCCCTGGCCCGGCCGCGTCTGGGCATTTGGGCTGTCGGCTGGCTGAGTGCTCGCTCCCCCGCCGGACTGCTGTCACTAGGTAAGTCGCCCCGGGCCCCCAGATCAGTCGACAGAGGGGAGGGGTGTCCCTGCTTCCCCGACCCCGGAGGGGCCGGGGGCTCTGGAGCATGACAGGGATATCATTTGTTTATAAAATACTGTTGAGTAAGTGTAATTGGAATATTTTTCTTTACAATACAGACCTATATATTTCTTAGTGAATATACTGTTTCAGATAGGGATGGGTATGAACTGGGAAAATGGAAGTTTGTCCCAGTTTGTGGGGTCACATGAACCTTCACGAACCGCCCCATTCAGCAAACGGTTCATTTCATGAGGTTTGTGATGGGGGGGGGGTTCTTCCCTCCCTCCTTTCTGCCAGCGGTGGCTCCCTGAGGCCAGAAGAATGTGGTGAGGGAAATCTTGCAAAAGCCGTTTAAACGGAACACTTGGAAGCAGGGGTAGGGAAGTAAAAGGGATCACTGAAATGGCTTACATCTATTTCAGTCTAACTGCTGATAGGCGCACCAGCCCCGCTGTTAGGCTGAAATGGATGCAGACCATTTCAGCAATCCCTCTCTCTGTCCTGCCACAAACCCCATGAACCTCTAAAAACCACGTGGAAGCGTTGTGGATAGGTATGGGCATGAACCTTGGTTTACAAATCAGCTATGTTCATCATGAAATTAGGTTCGTGCCCATCCCTAGTGTCAGATATAAATTAGCTCACATTTACAACAGACAAAATTCTCTTAAAATTGCCTAAGATGGAGAGCATTTTAAATCTGTTGAAGTCTAAAGTTATCTCACTTTTAAAAATCTTTGATTGGCTGACAGCTCTATTGTTAACTAATCTATGATGATGACCATTATTTTTTTCTTGTCTTGACAGTCCCGAAACGCTGTGACAACTGCAAGCACCATCCCCCCTGCAGTAGTAGCCACAGTCTCAGCCACAAGAGCTCAGTCCCCAGTTATTACAACTACAGCAACACATGCCACAGAATCTAGTCTCAGGTAACCATCACAGAAAGCCTAAATACTCTTTATATGTATTAGGAGTATAAAAACAGGTACATGTCGTAGTGCAGCTGAGGACCACTGAGTTACATGGCCACAGCTTGGGGACTCTTTTTTTTCAGGCTGCTTGTCCAGCCAGGTATTCTGGGTTTGTAGCAGCTTCCCATGCAGATCAGATAAGTACTTTTTGGCACGGTAGCCATATAGTATATAATGGCCTTCCAAAAGATAACTCCTGCATCTGCTGTTGATGTAGTCATTCATATCATACACAACAAGAAGATAAAGTTAAATTACATTCTGATCTCTCTTCTTGCATTATGGGTTTGCTGAGGCTGCATTTAGGTATTACTTCTAGACAACCTTACACTGTGGTTTGTGTAAACCCAGCCTGATGCTGTGCTCGTGCACCTCACTTCTCCCTTCCATGCAAAGTGGGGGGGGGGGAGTGAGGCAACACAAACCTGGCAACAACATTTCATATCTATCTTAGCCACCCAACACATCCTCACCCAGCAGCAGAGATGGCATCCAGGGAGGAGGAGCAGCAGCAAGTGATGCCACCCAGATCACACCTGCATGTCATCTGTATGATGAGGCAGGCATGCGACTGCTGACTGCAGCCTTGTTGTAGCAGGACCCTGCAGCTGATCAAGGGCAGAGGCAGCAGTAGGGGGCATGGGTGAGAGAGTGGTAGAGGGCTTTGGACAGGGCAGAAGGAAGGAGTATAGCAGGCATTAAGACAGGACCCAGAGAAGATGAGAGAGAGAGAAAAGGAACCAGGAAAGGGAATTCAGAGGAGGATGCAGTGGGTCAGCATCAAGGAGAGAGAAAGGAGAAGAGACAGGTTTGAGGAATGGCACACAAAAGGAAGGTGGAGGAGAGAAAGAAAGAGTTGGAGCAGAGGTAGGAAGCGCCACGTGGGAGAGAGAATGCACAGGTGTGAGAGGAACCTTAGGAAATGAGTTGGCCAAAGCGGCAAAGTTGGCCAAACCATAGGTCAATGGCTAAACGAACATGAGTGAAGGAACGCCATTTGTATTAGGATCCTCTGTGTGTTAGTGAACAGAGAGGGGATTTAATGTGCCGTTGCACCCCCATAGCCATCACTATTGCTATTTAATATAGTTAAAAATGACATCTGAATGCAACCTGACTTGAGTAGCTTCAGAAAAATAACCTCGGGTTTTGTTTTCCAGTCGGCCAACGTTGTCAATTCAACAGCACCCGCCTACTGCACCTATCAGTATTCAGCGTCCCGCACAGCCACGCGACACTGCAACCAGAATTACCTTACCATCCCATCCAGCCATAGGAACACAAAAACAGCAGCTCCACACCATGGCTCAGGTAAATTGGTACAAGCAAGATCAATGCAGTGTCTTCCCCCACATTGTCTCTTGTCTTTTGCTGTAAGGTCTTAAAGTTGTATGTTGAATAGAGTGTTGTACTGGGCTTGGTAAGTACTTTCTGTGGCACCGGGGACTGGGGAAAGAGCAAGGCGCCTTGGGGGCGGGGGGGGGGGGGGGGGGCAGCTGAGGGCAGTAGGCTGGTAACATGAGTATGGCCAGAAGGGCACCAGCTGGGAAGAGGCTGGCTGTTAGGGGCTGGAGTCGCTAGGTCAGGGAAGGGCATGCCTTTGGGGTGGAGAAGCTGGAGAGCGTGGTGTAGTTGTGGGCTCCACCCAGAACTCCCAGGGGCCACGCTGAGCGAGGGTTTAAGGATGGCCATGAAGAAGAACTGAGCAGTGGAAGTGTGGTGAAATGGGGACCCGCCCTCAGCCCTGGGAGACTGAGCAGCCATTCTGTGGCTCGCAAGCCCCTGTTTTTGCCTTTCCACCCTTCCTGGTGGAGCTATTTCCCTTTGTTACACGCTGCCACCACTCACTGGATTGACACCACCTTCCTAGAGGGACAGTGAGACCTCTCTGACTGATTCCCCAACCTTGGGAAGTTGATACCAGTCTTTGGGTGTCCCCTGGAGAGTTGGCAACCCCCTGATTTGGGCCTGTTTGCGTTCCCTAGTCTCCCTTTACCCCAGTAAAGTGCTGAGCAGAGAGGACTAGCTGGTCAAGGCACACCAGGTCTTATTTAACTCAAAAAAGTTTATTTTAACTGTACAAGTTAAGCGCAGAAAATAAACTCAATCACATTAACACAACCTGGGCAGAAAATAAATACAATTTAAAACGCCATTCCTTTGTCCCCTACACACACCCTCTCTGTCTCTGGAGGTTGTGGGCCTCAGGATGGGTTTTGCTTTCCTCCTCCTCTTGTGGAGAAACCCCAGCCCTTCATTGGACTGGTCACTGGTACTGTTACCCTCCTGGCTGTCCACCAGGGTTTATAGTGGCCTGGATGCCCTGGAGTTTGAGGCAACAGGAGCCCCCACCTGTCTGCTCCCTTGAAGCTGCCGTCCACGCTGAGCCAAAGGCTGAAGACCAGGCTGAAGACCGAAACCCCCCCCCCCCCAGGAGCCAAAGCTTTTATCTCCCTGCGCCCCCCCCCGGCGTGTGTCCAAATTTTCCCACTCTGTTCCCTACAGCTTCTGGGAACTGTAGGCAGGGAGGTATGGCAGCTCCATTGTTCCCTATGGAGTACCTCCTCCCTCCTAAGGACTACCAGGCTGGCATCCATTTTACACACCCAGGTAAATGCCATTTCATTACAGGAAGACAGGAGCAACACATGTGCTTGAGAATGGGAGAGATGACTAGCACAGGCTAGGAAAGGAATTGAAGGTGGCTGGGTGTAAAGGGAGTGCTGAAACTGCCCCGAGGGAACCGTGCCTGCTACACTGAGTAAATGTTTGTTGCTGCAACCTGTGCTGATGCTGCCTATTCACTGGGAATGGTGGGTCAACCGACAAAGCTTGCTAAAGCCACCTAACGTGGCCTTGCAAGTGGGGCGTGGGAACATAGAGTGAGACCCAGCAAACTACACTTTTCTTTTAGAACAAACAAAGCATAATGTTAAAGCAAGTCAGTGCAAAGCATATGAGCAATGGATTCCTAAAATGAAACTTTTTACTTCTTTTAGAAAACCATTTTTAGTACTGGTACACCTGTGGCAGCAGCAACTGTGGCACCTATTTTAGCAACCAATACCATTCCTTCAGCAACCACAGCTGGTGAGTATCTGAAAGGAAAATCAAGTTGAAGTAATTGTTATAGAGCCCATAAGTCTGTGTACAATGGATTTTATTGGGGTAGGGGTTTGAAAATATTCTGATGTTAAAGGAGCTAGGACGGTGGGTTGTAGGGCTGCCTGGAGAAAAGTGTCCTGTCCCTTTAATAGAGGTTCAGTGTATAGAAATGGTCAGCTGACGGTTTTCATGGCACAAGTAAACAGCAACAGCTGATAAAGAATAGCCCACTGAGCATCTGTTAAAGGCACAGGGTGCTTCTTTTTCCATTCATACAGTTCACAACCCTAGTGGGGGAGGGTTTCCCTGGCCTTAAACAAGGGGCTTGGCTTCCCCAACCAGCTCCTACTGCTAATCCAGTCGCCAATATCCCAACCTTTTCAATGATCCCATTACCTTTAACACATTTCAAAACCATTTGAGGAAATGGCATGAGATGGGTGTGGACAGAGAGAGAAAAACAGAGAAAGGCAAAGGAAGGAATATAAAAGGTGACAAAGGAAAGAGTAGAAAGGAGGGAGTGTGGACAGTGAAGGCGGATTCTTGAAAAGAGAAAAGGAAGGAGTCAGGATTCGTAGCAAGTGGGAGCCCAGAAACGCATCAAATAATTATGATAACCAATTGTGATAACTTGAGTTTTCATGTCAGAAGGATAGCTTTTGGGGGGTCCTGCCATGAGCTGTTAGAAGGATTAGAAAACTGCTGCATAGAAATTTTTTGTTGTTGTTAGCCATTCAGTCGTGTCTGACTCTTGGCGATTCTATGGGCCAACTCTCTCCACATTTTCCGATCTTCTGCTGTTTCTTTGAGTCATTCCATGCTCAGGCTGGTGTCGACTTTTATGGTGTCTAGCCACTGTGTTCTTTGGCAGCCCGGTTTCCTTTTGCCACTAGCCAATCCAAGCATAATTGCTTTTTCTAGGGAGTTCTTCCGCATGACATGGCCAAAATAAGTCAGTCACAGTTTTATGATTTTTCCTTCCAATGACATGTCTGGTTTTATGCACTCCAATACTTGCTTGTTTGTCACCTTTGCTGTCCAAGGAATGCACAAGAGCCTTCTCCAGCACCACAGCTCAAATGAAATTTGAACAGAAATTTAAATGGGTGTAATTGACATTTTCTGTCTGTTAAGATCACAGATGCCAAGAAAAATTTAACAGTATGTACAATAAAGCACACATGGAGAATGGGTCTGCTGATTAATTAAATGTTCCGGCTTATTGTTCTGCACCGACCCCTACCCAAAAGAATCCACAGTGACCATACTATTATATTATAGGGCACTGCCCCAGGGACTGTTTCCAAGGCAGGAAGCTCCACCCCCCTTTTCTCAGTTGCCTTATCTGTTTTCTGTCAATATTAGAACAACACACTCCACCTTCCCTCTTCTCGAAGCAGCTCCGGCCTCTGCATTGGCCGCAGTCACCCTGTCAGGCTTGACAGAGAAGAAGGGCTATGCAGTGGAGAAAAGCACTGCCAAGCCCCTCCCTCATGGTGACAGCATCCCAGGTGAAATAAGCAGCGTTCCCCTGCCCGTGGTTGAGGTGGGGGCTAGCAAAGGGGCCAGTGGCAGTGCTCTTTTTTTCTTTTTCTGCTGGCCGTACCACATCTGGTCCCATCTATCTGGGTATACAGTGGAGGACAATGGTAAGTCCAGGGCGAAGAATTCAGACCCCACACACCATTGGGAACACATGCTGATATCCCCATACCTGACAGGAGCCTTCCTTTTCTTGGACTGAGCTACAGAGCCATCCTACGCAGCAGGCAGATGAACGGGCCAGCTGCCTGGGAGGGGAACCCTGAGCGGGAAGGAGCCACTTTCAGGCGATGTCAGCTGACAGCTGGAGAAGCTGGAGTGGTGCATGTGTAGACCCCAAAATTTTATTTTTTTTATTTTATTTTTCACATTTATATCCTGCCCATCCCGTAAATGGGCTCAGGGCGGGTTTACAAGGTTTACATAAATACAATAAAATTTTAAGACACATTATAAGCATATAAAATCAATAATCATGGCTTGCTGTAGGGAGAGTCCAGCCCATTGATGTAGGTAGGTGTGGCCAGTTATCAGTGGGTGGGAGACAGCAACCTCAGGGTGCCATTGCGTATGGTGGCTGAGGGGGATGAGCTTGCCCTGTGGATGACACCAATTAGTAGAGTGTTCTCGATAATCAAGTGCCAGATAACAAAGCTTTTACTGCATCTCTTTCTGCATTTCAGGTTCCGTCCCTCATACCCAAGCGCCTACAAATACGATTGTCACTGTGACTATGCCTTCACATTCTTCCCATGCAACTGCTGTGACAACCTCAAACATACCAGTTGGTAAGAGCAGTGGTTCAGAGCTATTGTTCTTTATGTTCACACATTTTACTGAATGGTGGGGACAACATAGTTTGGGGTATCTATGCATGATAGCAAATGAGGCAAGAAAAAACTGCTTATATTGGGAGCAACAAGCTGGCAGACTGCGATGTGGTCTATTCAGTTTTACTACTAATTACTGATAAATCAATCAGTGCTTTAAAGACAGTTTTGGGGAAGGGATTGGGATGGTAAAGCCCAATATGTAGTTGCTTTTTAGGACTTTATAGTGGATTTTCCTCATTTACTCTGAGTGAAAATAGTCTCCAAGCATGAGGCCATTTAAGAACTTGTCTGAAGCAAGAAGACTGAGGAGAGGACACTTTGCCTAACTGGCCCCTACCCAAGTGCCATCAGTCTTATTGTGAACTACCTTGAAGGCATGTTGTCAGGCAAAGTATACTTTAAATAACACCGTTGCTCAAGATGTGCAGACATATCACTACTTCTTTCCATTCAACATGTCTGGGTTTTCCAGTACAGACTACTGTGAGCTTTTGTGGAAGGAAACAATAAACAACCTAGAACATCTTATGTTCCTTGTTTGAGTTTGTGAATAATTGTGGTATACTTTCTCACTGCGCAGCTAAAGTGGTCCCTCAGCAAATCACACACACTTCTCCTCGCATCCAGTCTGATTATACTGCAGAGAGGAGCAATCTCATTCCTATATCAGGACACCGTGCATCTCCAAACCCAGTTGCAGTGGAAACTAGAAATGACAACAGGTAACTGAATACATTTGCGTACATAGGATTGGTACTTGTTAATTTTGACCATACAACAAGTGTATTCTGTGTGAGGACACTTGCATAAATAGGATGATGAATACCTTGATTCCTGCAGATAACTTGCAGTGCAATCCTGTGCACAGTTATTTAAGCGAAGCCCATTGATTTTCATGGGCTTAGACTGGAGTAACTATGTAGAGTTGCATTGTGCAGCACTTAAATTAACAAGGTTTTTGCTTGTTTCTAGTAAGAACCACTTGTGATTCTTAACCTAGCTGCTTCCTGTTCTTCAAGCTATGGTCAGTGGGTGCCTTGAGTTCTGTAGTTCATTGATTCTACGATGTCCTTTCCACCAGACAACTTTCTGAAGAGTAAACAGTCCTGAGTACTGAACTTGATTCATCCTGCAGTCTTGCACAGCTGTGAAAAGTGAAGGGAAATGAGATGTGTTACTCAGGGGGTGAATAGGCATTGTTCTGTTGGTGCATGTGTGTACAGGTCATAGAGATGTTTGTTAGTCAAGAGACTACTATTCAGGATTAAATTTAAATAAAGTTAACAGCATATTCTACTGATGGATATCAGTACTAGTGGTATAGAGCACACGCAAGCCTGGCAACACATCCACTTTTCTCCATGGGTTTGCTGTTTTGCTTACACTGTACAATACTGGAAGACTTTTGAGTGGCCTTCTAAGTAGAGGCTATATGGCAAGCAAACGTGGGGTGGTCTCCAGAAAACCAAGCAAGCCAGAATGCCTTATGACAAAATGTAACAATAATTGTCACAGCTTCAGTAACTGGCATTGCAGTGCTCAGTCTGACACCTTTTCCCTTTTATAGGCAGTCGGTACCTGTTCAATTCCAGTACTTCTTACCAACATACCCACCTTCTTACCCTTTGGCTGCTCACACTTATACACCTATTACCAGCTCTGTGTCCACCATCCGCCAGTATCCTGGTAAGCAGCATAAATGAGCATAACGCATAAAAGTATTTTTGAGCGTTAAAGGCATAGTTTCAAATACAGTGAATGCAATACTTAACTATTTCTGAGAACTAACTGGCAATGTCTCTTATCATTTTTATAATAAAGAAAACAATTTTTGCTATGTGTAACAAATGTGTTATCAGCTAGTATATGAAGCAGTAGATGTAATTTCTGAATCTGTAACAGTGCTGTTGACATACTTTTATGTTAATAATGTATTGATTTTGACATTGATGTATTGTAAGAGCAGTAGCATTTAGATGTAGAAAAACTAGTATGAATGCACTGGGGTATAAATGCCATTGAATGGAATGCAGAATAAAACACACTCAAGTATGAGTATAGAAACTTAAAATGTATGGAAAATTATTCATTGAAGGCTCAAACAAAGTCTAAATTATGTAGATACCATACATATAAAGTCTCTTTGGCTGTCATTAACCATTGCAAAAAAGAGAGCTATAATATGCCAGTTACACAAGCTTGGATCCTGTGCTATGGAAACCCATTCACACTGCAGAAGAGAACTTCCTGATTGACCACCCAGTCTCCATTACAATATGGTGAGTGAAGGGGAGTCTGTAGCACAATGGGGGAAATAAGCAAAAACTGCATCCCCTCACCTGCTTGCGCTGGAGGAAATGCCTTCCATCAGCAAAAAACATAATTGGGATCGAAGCCACAGCCTTACAGTTCAGAGTGAACTCAGTCTTGCCTGTATGAACAGGGTATCAGGTGATGTGATTACTGAAGCTGTCAAAATCCAGAAGTGCATTGTTTTAAGTCCATATATAAGTGCATTTTCTAAGTGTTCAAAATATTTCACCTGCATCATTTCAGTTATTCTTGCAGTACTCCTGCAAAGTAGTCCAGCATTCTTATCCCCACAATGCCTGGGGTGACCCAGTAAATTACGGATTGAAGTGAGATTTGAATATGGGAACTTTCCAGGCCCGAGCTCATGTTTATATTCTCTGCTGCACTAAATCAATATCTACAGGTTTTAACATCTCTTTTCCAAGCCATTAATGTGGCTCCTAAATGAACCATTTCTGAGTTGCTTCATCTCATCTGAAGAACTGTGACAGCTAAGCCCAGGATGAGAGTTGGCCATAGTTTTATGTGGGAGAGGCAGCGGTAGAACACAGTATCTCTTTGTATTTTAATGCTCATAATGGCTATTATAATGTGGCTTTAGCAATATAAAGTCTATATCACTGCTATATAAATTGAAACTAGAACAGTTGACTTATGAACCTTAAATCTTTTTGGCACTTTCAGCAGCACTACAGATGTGTAAATAAAATATATCTTCATTACATGTTGCTTGACAATAAAGGATAATAAGCGGTCTTTTTCAGGGAAATAATTGAGTCTGTGTGCTGTTCCCAGTTTCAGCTCAGGCCCCCAACTCTGCCATCACAGCTCAGACTGGTGTAGGAGTAGCCTCCACAGTCCACCTCAATCCCATGCAGCTGATGACTGTGGATGCCTCTCATGCTCGTCATATCCAGGGCATCCAGTCTGCACCAATTGGTGCACAGGGTATACAGCCGGCACAAGGAATACAGTCGACACCAATTGGAACCCAGGGGCTACATCCTACTGCACCAATTGTTACACAGGGTCTTCAGACAGCACCAATGGGTGCCCAGCAGCCACAAACTGAAACAAAGACATCAGGTAACTATCAGTGGTATTTCCATTTATTCTGTGAGGCTAAGGAAGCCAGAACACTCTGTCTTAGAGTTCTTATTTGTTATATAATGTTTAAAGGATGCTAAGACTGTTTCTATAAACATTTACTTGAAAATCCCTTGAAGTCAGTGGGACTTACTTCTGAGTAGACATGCAAAGGGATTGGGCTTTCAGTAACAAAAGACTTGCAATTTCAATGGCCACATTAACATTCATAATAATTGGCATGTTTTATTTAATCTGGCAGATAATTCTCTAGAAATCAATCAAATCTTGGATCATAGGGCAGCAAGCATCTTACTGAGCAGAGAGCTTCTGCTATCCCCAACCATAATCAAATTTGTGGACCTTTTCATTATGTCACATTAAATGACTGTGGGAGCATTCCTAAGGAGGTCTATTCAGAAGTAGGCCCCATTTTGTTCAATGGGGCTTAATCCCAAGAATATGTATTTAGGATTGCAGCCTTAAATACATTACACATGGAATTTGTGGAGGAAACATAAAGTGGCGGTTTCTACTGATTCCCCCTTCCTGCTCCAGAGGTCCCCTCCCATGTTATTTCCCAGGATCCCCTGTCTTTCAGGAGCAGCATTTCATGATGATCAGTGGGCTGCAGTGTGGGGATGGGAGGAGGGAGCCAGGAAAGTTCCATTCTGCCTTTGGAAAGTTTAGTCTAGATCCAACCCATAGGGTAGACTAACATTTTCTTATAGTGACTACAGCTTTTCATTTATTTCATTTATTACCTTTATAGTGTTGTACTGACTCCCTAAGCTGCTCTTTATATCCCTTTTTTTCTCTTCATCAGTGGTCCTGGCAGAAGGAGCCACCATTGTGGCCAATCCAATCAGCAATACTTTCAACACTGCTCCAGCTTCAACGACCGTGGTGCAAACCCACAACCAGAGTGCCAGTTCTAGCACACCAGCCCAGGGTTCATCCCCTCGCCCAAGCATTCTCCGGAAAAAACCCACAACAGATGGGTGAGCAAAATGAGCAGTCATCTACGAATTTCATTTAGGAATCTGGTATCTTCTGTCTCCTTAGTGGAATATCTAGAAGAGCTAGGGACTATATAGTCTAAATAGTAAAACCACTGTTTTTAAACTCCTTGGGGAAAGTACTCCTCAGTAGTTTCACAAATGGAAATATCAATTCACTGGTATTTATTTTTCAGTGATCCTAAGTAAAATACTGCATGGTTATTTGCATTTAATTTTGCAGGCTGGCAGTTAGGAAGAGTCTCATTCCTCCTCAGCCACCTGAAGTCGCTGGCACTCGAGTAGAGAGCTCTATGAGGAGTGCATCTGGATCACCAAGACCAGCCAGGTAAGACTTCACGACAAAATAAGATGTGAAAAAGTCAGAGTTACTGGAATTTTAGTTTCTAGGAGAGGAGGAAAGTGTTGCCTGTTCTTACTGCAGCGTTATCAGCTTTTTGTGGAGACGGCTATTTGCACAAATGTGAATTGAGCTGGTAGATGTACACTGAGATGTTCAAGCTTATGAAATTTGACTTCATCCCTGCTCTTTTTTTCTTTAACAAGTTCCTTTTAGACCTTGGTAATCTACCTCTCACCCCATTCAAATATGTTCTCCCCCCTCCTCCCCCAGTTGTTTGATCTTACTAACTAGTATTTCTGCCTTCCAAAAATTTAGTGTGATCACATGACCAATATCTCTAATGGCTTCAGTCCTGTATCAAATTATATAATCTGATGTGGGGTAAAAGCCAAATCTGAATTTGGAATAAAGTATGCATAATGTGAATGAAGTATTCTTTGAGTAACACTGTGTGTGTATGTGTGTGTTTTTCTGAGTGCAGAATTTTGGGATAGAGGATAATTATATTTTGAATGGTACCTTGAGGAGCAGGCAGAGATCTGTTGGATATCCCAGCCATTGTAACAAAAACTGCATATAGGACAACACTTATACAAATGGTTTTATCACATGAAAATGAGCAGGATCACAGTGAATAGGAGTTCTAGTTAAGAACCTTCACTGTATCACTAGAAACGCGCACATACATTTGGCTCTAAGCCTTCAGCAGAAATTATCTAGACATTCTTAGGTTTGGCACTATACATTGCTGCATCTTTCTGTGTTTTTACAAGAAGATCAGAATCTCAGCAAAGGCACCAATATCTGAGTTAATGACTGTATTGTGCAATTTGTAGTACCCTTGTAGCTGTTCAGATTCTGAGGATCCACACTTCATTTCTGCAAATGTGAGGACACTATGTCCATCATCAGCTTCATTTTGACTGAAAGAATGAAAGCAAAATAGGACTTTTGAAGGCTCTAACTTCAACATTTATTTAATGCTGTGGTAACATCACTGCGGTGATGCGGTGGCTCAAGTGGTTAAGACGCTGAACTGCAGGCTGTGGAAGGTCAGTAGTTCAGCGGTTCAAGACCCGGGTGCCGCAAGACGGGGTGAGCTCCTGTCTCTAGTTCCAGCTCCTGCCAACCTAGCAGTTCGAAAGCAAGAAATTGCAAGTAGATAAATAGGTACCACTTCGGTGGGAAGGTAACAGCGTTCCGTGCGCCTTGGTGTTTAGTCATGCCGGCCACATGACCACGGAAACGTCTTCGGACAGCGCTGGCTCTTCGGCTTAGAAACGGAGATGAGCACCGCAACCCTAGAGTCGGATTCGACTGGCTTTCGAGCAAGGGAGACCTTTACCTTTACCTAACATCACTGCAGATTTTATAAACAAATACACTTTCCTAAAACTGATTTTCCCCCTCCTTTGTTTTGTTTCTTTAGTGCCAAACCTAAACCAGAAATCCACGTGTCCATGGCCACTCCAGTAACTGTGCCTATGGAGGCAGTATCAATTCAGAGCAATGAGCAGCCTCCGATTGCAGTCCCTACTTCTCAGCAGCCGCCACCTGCCATTCCAACAATCATCACAGCAGCTAGTCCCCCATCACAGCCCACAGCAGCACTGTCTACCATTCCAGGAACTGTTCCAGCTGCTCCACCCACTTCTACAACAATGGTGGCTCCTCCTCCACCTCCATCGACTATAGGTGGTGTCCTGTCCACAGTGCTGGGTCCTGTTGTATCAGAGATAAACATCAAAGAGGAAGTGGAGCCTATGGACATAATGAGACCGGTCTCAGGTAGCTTGCTGTCCAAGTGGTCACAAAAAAGAGACCTGATTTGGTTACAAAATTCAGATTGATCATTTTCTGCAAATTAGTTATAATGAACAATTTTCTGCTTGCTTAATTTTAAATATTTTTTTTAAGTGTTGGTTTCCTATTTGATCTCCATGCAAAGGCTCATAATCTGGAACCATGTGTGAGTGGTGAAATGCTCCTGGGCTTTGCATGTGACTGAAATTACAGTAGAAATGGCTTCGTTGAGAAAAAACTGGCCAGAAAGATGCATTCATTATTGTACACAGACATTTGGATATTCATTGCATTCTGCAGTCAAAACTAAAAGGGCACATATGTAGCCTTGCAACAAAAATGAAATGGAGTCTTAATCTCAATATCTTTTTCACAAAAGGAAAAAAAATTGTTACAGCGGTTAATTATTGATGTATTTTTTAAAAAACTTCCTTGGGAGCCAAAATAATGACCAATCAAAGGAATTCCAAAATTCCATCGTGGTGAACATTCATAAAACAAAAGGTTGTTTTATCCTCCCTCAGTGTGCCTGAAGTAAACAGAGGCAGGTTTTTTCTGTGCCAAGAACAAGAATAAGTATAATTTTCAAATACACTATTCAGAAGAATATTAGAAAGGCGTTAGGTCCATATAAGGGTATTAGAAGTTTTAAGATCCTCGGGTGAGAGAGACTCCCAACAAAGCATTTCCTCTTTTAAGAAACACTGTTCTTGGAAAGGCACCACAGTGGCAGTTTGCACTTTTTGTTGCACTGACTGGAAGAGAGAAGAGGGGGACCTACACTACTTTTAAATTTAACGATCTTGTACACATATATCTTCTTTTCCTCCTTTTCAGCAGTTCCTCCTCTGACTACAAATACTGTGTCTCCATCTCTTACGCTGCTGACCAACAACCTTTCAATGCCCTCAAGTGACTTGCCACCTGGTGCCTCCCCAAGGAAAAAACCACGGAAACAGCAGCATGTCATCTCTACAGAAGAAGGGGACATGATGGAGACCAATAGCACAGATGATGAGAAATCCACTACCAAAAATCTGCTGGTAAAGGCAGAAAAGCGCAAGTCACCACCAAAGGAATACATAGGTGATTATTCGTCTTCTGGTACAAAATGTTCCCTTTTTGATGCTTTCTAACCCATAGCTGTCCACTGAAAGTACAGTTTAGCAGGTAAACAAGGAGTCATGGTGAAAAAAATTGGTAGACCTCTACTTTTCTAAATCTTATTGTTTTGTAGCATTGTATAATTTAAACTCAAGAAACTTGAGTGCACTCCTGTGCATTGTTCCCCAGCCTAAACCAATTGATTTCACTGCATACGGTTGCACTGTTTCTGCTGGAACTGAGCTAATCTCTAGTGCAGGTTATATTTACATATTTCGATTGTGAGGTTGTCTTTCCGAGTTCAAACTGCAGACATCTTTAAAACATTTGAATAGATTTTTTTTTAACCTTCCTTAGATGAAGAAGGCGTCAGGTATGTGCCTGTTCGTCCAAGACCCCCCATAACACTGCTACGTCATTACCGGAACCCATGGAAAGCTGCCTATCATCACTTTCAACGATATAGCGATGTCCGGGTGAAAGGTATGTTTTCTAGTCACTGCATTTCATGTGGTTCGACGAACTGTCATATTATACTATTTAATATGATTTGAAAACATGTCTAGATACTTGAACCACTGGAAGAAGGTATCAGATGCACAATGTGTGAATAGCTATCGTCTATTTTATTGCATCAATCATGACTGGTTTCCTTATCTTTGACTTGTCACGTTTGACTTTCTAGAAGAGAAGAAGGCAATGCTTCAAGAGATAGCCAATCAGAAGGGTGTATCCTGTCGTGCACAGGGGTGGAAGGTCCATCTTTGTGCAGCACAATTGCTGCAGCTGGTAAGTGTAAGAATCATGCTAATTTTGTATAACATGGGAGAGCAAGAGAAATTTAGCCCAGCAAGTCTCTTCCAAAGGGGATAAATACGTATTTTTAAAAAATATATGACCACCAGGTTGATTACTGGGACTACATTTTCTATTAAGTGTTGTCAGGTTCCAACTGAGTATATGTATATCCTGTGAGCCTGACATTTGTGTGGATGGAGGTTTTGATCCAGGCATAAGAGCTGATACATTTTATACAGATGCTCAAAACTGGCAAATCCCTCCCTCTGGTGCACAGGTCTGAAGAAGTGTCTGGGATGGTGCCGCTGACTTGAGGAGGCAGCACTGCTCCACATTCCTGGATGCTTCTATTTCAGGTGGGGGTGAGGTAGGTGCTTTGAATTCTAGCACCAAGCTCCCCAAGCCATTCCTAGAGGAATACTACGGAAAAGTGAGATTACAGTTCAGTATTAGGAATACTGGGTTCACAAAAAGAAGCTAAAGTTTTTGTATTAATGGAGACTGTTTTGATTCAGGCATAAGAGCTGATGGTAAGAAGACTGAATTTCAGAACTTCTTTCACAGGCTTGGGTCAAGGGTTGGCTGACCTTTAGTTTGTCTCTAGACAGCATAGGCTGGGATCAGTGTTTCCCCATCCAGGGATAGGGCAGTCCGGCTTCATTATGAAGTATATTTAAGAGAACTCCGTATGGTAGATACAAGAAAAATATTGTTATGAAAAATAACACACACACAACCTAGAAAGGAAATGGAATTTCTATTCTTCACACAGCCTTTATTATGAAACATTGTGAAAATGCTGGGTGTTCTTGCCAAATTCTAATATCTTACAGACTAACCTGGAACATGATGTATATGAACGACTCACCTCCCTTCAAGAAGGGATCATTCCCAAGAAAAAGGCAGCAACTGATGATGACTTGCATCGAATAAATGAACTGATACAGGTAAGGAGACTGTAACGTATTTAGTCAGTTTTGTAAATTTACTTTAGCCTGTACTTGGATTAAATTGTTTTCAGTCTAAACTGTGTAGACAAGATGGAAAGGTTAAACTAAACACAACATACTGCATACCCACTCAAAATAGTACCCTAGCGATAAACATACTGCCCTTTAAAAAGATGAATCATTAAGAATACGGAGGCTGAAAGGTTCCATGTACCAGTCAAAATACAAGCAAACATTTAATTTTAAGAAATAAATGGCTCCCACTTACACATGCACACATTCATTTTTATGTTTTGGAAGCCAACCCACCAACTCATTTTGAATTACTTCATGGAGACAATTCATCCAAAACATAAAAGTGCATAATAAATGACGGAAGATTGGTGCAATCTGTTCATCCAGTTACATCTTTTTAATCATGAGAAAATACAAATGCATTGCTATGGTAGTCATGTATCCTTAAAGCTTAGCATCACTGTTCGTTTTGAAAGGCAGATTGTGTGCTGACGAGAGGGAAGTGAGCCATAACAGACTCTGGATTATTTAAAGTTCTTGAGATCATATTCCTTCTTGTATTTCAAGAATTACTCCTCAAAGATAACTTGCATTTCTTTAAAGTATTTGACTTTTTAATGTTGGTGCTATGTTGTATTTCAGGGGAATATGCAAAGATGTAAGCTTGTAATGGATCAAATTAATGAGGCTCGAGAATCCATGCTAAAGGTCTTGGATCACAAAGACCGTGTTCTGAAACTTCTCAACAAGAATGGATCTGTCAAGAAAGTGTCCAAATTGAAAAGAAAAGAGAAGGTCTAGAGCCAGAGGTAGAAGGACTCTGGAAACAAAAAGATTGTACAGAACAGTGTTAAGGCTCATTTATTTTGGGTTTTATTTTAGAACTACATTTTGAGTAAAAAAGGATGAGTTTCAGAGAAAGACAACAGATGGATGTGTGGAGCCCAGTGACCTTAAGGGATTGTTGTTGACCTATCAAAGGAACAAAGATTTGTCTCAGGCTCGTCCCTGTTTAAATACTTCACAATCACATTTTGTTTAGCCCTCTTGATGTGCCAGTGCCTACTAATTGGAACCATTGATGCAAATGTGGTAGACAGCTCTCCTCCTTCCATCTTACAGTTTTAGCAGAAACTTCACAGATTTGTTCAATGGATTCCTGCAACAGACCTCAAGAACCATACATCTGTTATGAGTGCTGAGAAAGGGGGGGGGGATGACACTACTTCCATCTAGCCCATTCAGTTCTTGCTCCTTTTGACCTTGCAGTTGGCTGGAGCAGCCTTCATAAAGCAGTGCTGCTGCACAGGCAGTTCGGCTATATTTAGAATCTTAAGTGGTTCTGAAGTCTTCTAGCTGTCAATTTTTTTAAAAAAAATACATTTCAAAGTGAATTGTAGTGTTGTGGAGTGTGTGCGTGTGACCATGTTGGTGCTCTGGGATATAATTGTTTTCAAAGTACTCATACAGCACAGTACTTCCTGTAGCTGATGTGATGCTGTTTCTTGTGTTACGTACTATTGTACTACATAGCATCCTGAAAACATTAAAGATTTGGAGGATTTTGTATAATAGTTCTGATTTTGTGCAGTGAGAAATCGCTTTGAAAAACAGATTGCTGCAGAGATAGATTAAATAAAATAGGTTGGGGGGAATTAACTTATTTCTAGTGTTCTGAAGGAACACAAAAAGCCTTCCCCTTTTCTTATTTCTGCAAAAGCAGCTCAGCCCTTCATCATCCATACTCTTCACTATGGTGCTAAAACATTATGTACCGTTCTGATTAGTATAATGAGGGGGGATATAAAAATTTGGGTGTTATTTCTATTTTCCTTTGTCTTGAAAAGTTACTGTTCCATTATACAGTTGTCAGTGCTATTTAGAAAGGGCAAGACATAATCCATTCTGATTTCTCATATGCAAGCTTTATGAAATGACAATAGTTCCCATTCCATTTCACATGAGCTTGTAGAGAACATCCCAGTAGACTATGGTTATACCAGTTAAGATGAAATCACAGTTAGAATAAATCTATAGAAAACTGTTGCGGTATCATAAAGCTTGCTGGGTGATCTTGATTCACTCATGCTGTCAGGGTTGTTGGGAGGATGAAGACAAGAGGGAAGAAACATGTAACTGCCCCAAGCTCAAAGGACAGCATGAAAATGTATTTGATACCTTCTTTCCACAATGTTTTCTGCTGAAGCTAAGAAGACACACCATACCTCTAAAATTAGGAAGTATCTAAACTCTAGATCATTCTGGGCTGCATCTTTCCAGGTACCATCCTACAATGTGATTGTATTGGTCTGGAGCATGGATGCTGTAATTCAGTCATGTGTTGGTAAATAGTCCTTGTAAACTTAAGTCAGACTTTTTCCCCCCACACAAAGATTTAACAAAATGGTGTTCCAACAGATTATGGGTGGGATCCTACCAGGTTTTTTACTTCTGCAAGAGGGAGGAGTCCATTTTAACCACCCGAAAGGCAATGTCAGAGATCCTAGAACCCATGTGGATGAAAGGCAGGAAATAGAAACTGAGAGGCAATTCCCCTCTTTTTTTTTTTAACCAGAACATTTTATTCGTATTCAACCATAATGTGTAACAACAAACAACAAGAGTTACAGAAATCCACTTATCCTACCAATGCAATCAAATATACAATCAATACAAGCAATTCCCCTCTTCCTTGCACAGCTGCAGAAACCTGTAGAACCTAACTATGTTTGAATAGTACTATGGAAGGTAACTACCATCATGAGAAAGTATCACACCACCACTACCCAAATATGAAATAGCAAGTTTTATTTTGTTTGTTCTACATGCTTATTACATCTTTATTCTACCCTTCCTCCAAAGAACATGTTTTTCCCTTTATCCTCATGAACAATCTTGTGAGGTCAACTGGGCTGTAACTAGTCCATAGTCACCCAGTCATTTTCATGACCGAATGGATATTTGGACCCAGGTTTCCCCAATCCTAGGCCAAGCACTATGCCACAATGTTCCTCTAGTGTGTTGCAGGCATCTTCAGTCAGCAGTAATAGTACTGTCAACCTACTGGACTTTATAGAAAGCAGATATATGGGCCAATACCTAGACTCAACAGTGAGTCTCATATAGTTCAACAAGGCTTACTCCCAAACAAGGATACTTGGGACTGCAGTTGATGAACAAGCATAGGTAAGAACTTAGAAAGAGCTAATAAAGGAAATGGATTCATCTCTTCAAACAGTGATGGGATCATGCCTCAGTTACAACTAGCAGGCCCACACTGGGGCATTTATGCATATTCTTAAAGGATATGGACAGATCATTAGTTACCTATGATATTCCCTAAAAGCTGATTACTTGTTGCAGGAAACTGCTTCCCTATAACATTCCTGACTTATTCCAAAACTACATAATATCCAATTGATGCTTTCTTTACTATCAAAAGCCATATTAAAAAGAAAAGTGTTTTGTGGGCTAATTTAGGCCCAGCCTGGATCCTAAGTCTATTGATATGGAAGTCACATTGGCTTCAATGATTATGCATAGCAGCATAACCCTATGCATGCTTACCTTAGACTAAGCACCACTGGATTCAATCAGACTTTCTTCCAGGTAGACATACACAGTCTAGTCCCATACATGTTTACTCAGTATGGGAATGTTCAACAGCAAAGATTCTTGGGCCACTTTACAGGCTATCAAATTTATTATGCACAAATTTTCATAAACTGAATGAAGTGTTGATTACATTCTCATGGCAGCAGGATTTAGGTACAAAACTACAAGCCGAAGAAGAGCAACATGGAAAAGTAGTTTTACAAAGAGACCAAAATGTTCATAATTCCAGTGCTGTGTTACCTTACAATGAACACATGAAAACAAACAGTATTTAAAAAAGTGCAGCCGATCCAAAGAGGACCACATCCAGCTCTTGAGGAATTAGCAAAATATGTCTCAATTGCTTAAGTGAACCTGTAAAGAGAGACAGTTGCTTGTTATAGGGAATTAATACAGTCGATATGGACCCAGGTCTCAGATCGGCCCATAAATTCGAGTTCAAGCAAAACATACACGAAGCTGCGGTTAAAGAATCGAAGCCCCAATCATCCTCTTTAGCTCAGCCCACTAAGGAAACCCGCATCAGAAAAAGGCAAAAACAAGTCAATTTCCAAGCATGTCCGTCTTGCACTGGCTTTGGTCCCCAGCTACTTATACAAACATCCCGATAATAGGTACGCCAGAATCACGTGACGCGAAAAGCGCCCCCCCCTCCCCCCCAGGAAAAAGGAATTTCTTTTCGATCCTTCTACCCGGTCTTTCTTTGTGTCACGTGACCGCCTTCAAGTACTCACGCGATGCCGGGGGCGGGGCGGAAGTCTAGCTCTTCCGAAGATCTATGGTTTTCCTGCAGAGAGGCTGTCCTCGTTTGGAGTCTATGGTCTTCACAGGGCCGATGGGCGGTCGGCGCAAACATTCCACCCCCATTACCTCACCTTCAGCGAAGGGGCCGCTGGGATAGTGGAGGACCCGGGCTTTCCTGCCTTGCTTCAGCTCTCTTTTTAGCCGGCGGCGAGGCTGGGATTGCTCGTCCGGTGTCACTGTGTAGTTTCCCTCCACAGCCTGCCTTGCCTCGCCCCGCCCTGCTGGGTCCACTTCTTCGGTGCTCCCCCGCCCCGGCCCATGGCTCCATGAAGCGCGGGGCGGTAGAGGTGGCGGCGGCGGCGGGGAGGCAAGAGCAGAAGCGGCGGCGACGGTGGTTGGGCTGAAAAAGTGACTGGGGCAGAGAGCCGTGTCTCCGGGGCCAGGAAAAGAGAAGGTGGGGATTCTCTCTCTCTCCGTCTGGACAGCGGCGCCGCTGGACTGGGGGAGGGGGACCAAATGCCCCTGCAGACCTTCCTCCCCCCCCCCCGGCGCCCCCTTTCGGGTCCTCTGGACAAGCCCTTCGGCTTCCGTGCAGGAGCCTCAGCCCTAGCCCTTCCGCCGTCTATCCCTTCCAGTCCCTAGGGCACCCGTTTTCTGATCCCCCCCCCCCGCGCCCGAAATATCCCCCTGTTTCCTCTTACCAGGCCGCCACGACCTCCCCGGCTGGTCCCCTCCCACGCTCTCATGCCCCCTCACGTTTCGTGTGCCACGTTCCTGCTCTTCTGGCCTTCAGTATTTTCACTCCTGTGTTAATGCAGTGGGTTTCGTTTGGATCGCAGAACTGGGGGTGGGATAAGTATATAAGGCACATCTTGGGCTGCAAACATGCAATGAAGTAAGATCAGTTGCTTCTTCATTTTACCTTTAGTGGTTATCATACAGGTTTCCTTTTCCTGTCTCTGCCATGCATAAACTGTAGTCCTAAACAACACTCAGCTAGCAAGTAAATTGCACTAAACTCTGTGGTACTGACTTCAAAGTAAACATGTTTAGAATTGCTGTGACAAACTGCTTACTTACCTGAAATCATCTACTGCAGGCTTCATTTTTTGATGCAACCTTTGTATTGATATAACATGTTCACTGCTGAATGTGCTTCACACAGATTATTTTAAGGTATCCTCTCCTCTTATCAGTGTTCCCAGTGTTCTTCTATGTATACATTATCTCTATTGAACCATAAAGTGGCTTTGTGTATCGCTCAGTTATTGGTTTAAGTGTCTTAAAATGATTAAGTGGCAGTAAGTTTTCTCTGAATATGTTCTACTGATAGGCACATTAATAGCCTAGTTCAAGGATAGAATGTAGAAAGGGTGAGGCCCATTGAAAGAGCCTCACATATATAGCCGAATTCTATACATGTTTACTGAAAATTAAATCCCTCACACTCAGTTTCACAAGCTGTTTGTAATCCAGATATACAGTGCATGTTATCTAGTAAACTTCTCTGTCTGATTTACAGGCACATTCTCAAGAATATCTTCGGTTGTTTTGTCCAATGGCTGAGCATTTATGTTCACTTTGTTTTTGTCTAGATGTAACTGTATGATAAATTATTCATGGAGTGCTTTTCTCCCCCCCCCCCCCAGGTTTGGGGAACAGGAATGGGCCGTGAGAAAAGAAAATTCATTCCAGATATAAAATAGTTTCCCCTTCCACCTGCCCACAACCCCCTTGGCAATAACAAGGTGTCTGCTTTCAGTAAGTATTATCTCAGATTTAGAAGCATGTTTGTAAAATGGGGTGAGAACAGTGCAATTGAGAATGTGGCCTGCTGAAGTGGAGAGATCGTCCACCAGTTGTATGATTCTTGACCCTTATTGCCATGCACGCTTCAGCTCCTTGCATGCTTCCCTCCCCGCTTCAACCCCAAGTTTGATTATTGTAATTGTCCCTTTGCTCAGATGCTGTGTTAATATGTTGACGCCTCTCTAGTACTCAAATTGAGATTACAAAGCTATCCAAACTAGTGATGAGTAAAGCAATACAGTTTTTCAGTATAAAGCTTTAAACTGCTACTGTTTGTAGAACCCTGTTCTTTTTTCGTCTGCTAAGACTATTGTAGTTAGGATAGTAAGACAGGAGTGCATTAATCCTTATTAATCCTGAGACAAAGAAACATTGTGCTTTTTTATTTGCTGATGTCCATAAAGTTTCGGCATCTGTCATAGTTTCATCTGTGTTCACTTGCAGAGCTTTGTAAATCTCTTGTGTGCACATCATAAGATTACAGTTACACTTTGATTACAATCTTGGGTATACTTATTTAGGACTGATTTGTTGGACAAGCATGTGTAGGATTGGACTGTGTGTCCCAATAATATACTTATTTTTATTTTTTTATATTACTTACTATGCCCCCACCTTCCTCCCCATTGATGGTCCAAAGTACCTTACATCATTCTCCTGTCCTCCATTTTATACTTAACAACAAACTTGTGAGGTTGGCTAGGCTGAGAGTGTGTGACTGGCCAAAGATAAACTAGGCTTCACGTACACAGACACAGTTGTACAGTCCTGCTTTACTCTTTCATAGCTATATGTCTTTCCAAGAATGAAAGGCAATTGGTTTGAAGATGAAGTTTGCCAGGAAAACAAAAACTAAAGGGGAAAATTTTCCTGTTTGGTGTATTTGAAATTAAGCTAGTGAAATAGCACCCATCCAGGAAGAGATTTAGATCTAGACCCTTCAGTATTGAAATGTTACTCTGTGGTGTTGATATTTGGGACAGATATCCTTACACAAACTCCTTGGTACGTGCTTGCATCCTGATTTCATTAGACAAATTGTGCTGTCTTCTGGGATGGAGTGGCGATGGCCAGTCACCTCCCAGGATATCTTGAAAGGTAGCTGCTAGGAAGATTTTCCTCTTGTTCCTGTCAGGTTAAGGAGGAAAGATATATTCCCAGTCCTAAGCCTTTATGACAGAGGTACATCTCCTAATTATCTTGCTCCATTGTGTTCCTGTCTCCTACTGTCTGATTGGATTTTTGTGAGTGAGAGCCGTCTTGTGCTAGCACTACCTTATCAGACTTTCATGAGATACAAATGCGTGAAGCCTTTAATAAAGTAGGAGGAAACTCATGGAATTAGCTGTTAACTGAAGAACACTGAAATATGTGTAACCTTTTCTCTTTTTTTTGAAAAGAACAGAAAGGGGCAAATTTAATACAGCTAATGATTTCAGTGGCTGGGGAGCCTGACTGGATCCCCATATTAATATTAATGGCTACATTAATATTTTAGAAGTCCACTAAACTTCTGTTGAGCCCATTGCTTGCATGGTAACATTGGTCATTACGTTATAGATTAGGGTTATCTAGAAAATCCCAGAATAAAGTTGCACCATTATGCACAAAACTTGCTTCCACTTTCTCTGTTGAGATTAGAAAGGCTCTGCTGAAATGTCGGTGTTGTGTTTCTCTAGCTGTGGTTTGTTCTGCCTGAGTGCCAATGAGAAAACAGACTGAGAGCTTCACTACATGGGGGTTATCAGACAAGAGGGTAAAACCTGTAGGTAGAGTATGCAGGCGGCATGTAGCTCTTTGATTACTACTTCATAGTGAAATACTGTTTCATGAATAAAGTGCACATGACCTGTGTAAAAGTTGTAATGTCTTGATGTGTTTCATATTGAAGTCTGCTTTCTATTCAGTTTTTTGTCAGTCTTGTGCAATCGTATGTGAATTTTCTTCTGAAATTCACAGATGTTAATGTGAGAGATGCTGTTTTCTTAGTGTGGAAAAAAGTACATCCCTATAATTTGCTTTTCATTTAGTATAACGTCCTGTGTTGCATGTCATGTGTTTTTGCCAGGGTTCTACAGTGCTCCAGACAGCAAGTGCTGAATCAGGATGGGAAAAAGACGCTGTGTTCCTCCACTTGAGCCCAAGTTGGCAGCAGGCTGTTGTGGGGTAAAGAAACCCAAATTGTCTGGAAGTGGAACACACAGCCACGGGAATCAAGCCACAACTGTGCCAGTCTCTAGTTCAGGTCCTCTTCAGAACCACCAGCATGCAGATGGGGGCAATGGAAGGGAAAACGTATCAGATTTGACTTTGTGCCCTGGAAACTCTCCAATTACTCGAATGAATCCCACTTCAGGAGCTTTGAGCCCACTCGCCCAGCCTAATGGAACTGCCAACAGCACCAAGAACCTAGTGGTGACAGCGGAGATGTGCTGCTACTGCTTTGATGTACTCTACTGTCATCTTTATGGTTTCCCTCAGCCACGACTTCCTCGGTTTACCAATGACCCCTAGTGAGTAAACCCCTGGGCATGGGAGGGAAACTGAAAATCCATCATCCAAGGTTCTATAATTGTGGGGTAAGAGGGATAAGGTAAGGGTTATTTGGAATACGGGTGTATTTTTATGGAGCAATCTGCAATATTATTCTAATGTTTGTAAGGTTGCTTAAAATTTGAAATGAATCTGTATGCTGTAAAACAGAGAACTTGAGTAGGTTGACTGTTATGAGGTAGAACTTTATTACTTGGATGAGTGTTTTTTACAAGGAGAAGGGGCCATGCTTTGTTTGCAGAAAGTACTCTGGTTCAATTTTTGCTATCTTCAGATTTCAGGTACTGGGTATTGGGAAAGGCCTTTCTGCATCCTGGAGAGCCAATGCCAGACAATACTGACCTAGACTGACTGGTTGCCTGGCTCTGTATAAGGAAATTTAACATGTTTGATACTTGTTCGTATGCCTTAGCACTGCATCTTTAAAGGTCTGTGCTGATGTCATAATAAATTAACCAAGAGAAAGGGACTGGAAGCAGGCCTCAGGGTAGAGTTCTCCCTCTCCTCTCTATCGTCTATACCCTCAAACACTTAACTGTGGTTTAGGCATATGTGATTTAGGCCTTAACCATCATTAATACAAATTGAGTGTTATTAACCAGTGGCTTGAAGTCAAAGTGGTCTATACCAGTTCTCAAAAGATCAGTCTGATTCAAGAGGGTAGTACTATTCCATGTAATGTTATGTGTAGTTTAATAAGCTGTATCTATGCAATGCATCTTTTTTTACTGTGAATACAATTTTATTATCTTAGCTGTTATTAGAATTTTCATACGGCAGGAACATAACTGGCAGCATCATAGCACAACCTAACCTGTACTTGATAAAAAGTTACGTTTGGTAAGAAAGATAAAAGAGACAAAAGAATTAAAAATAAGAAAACAGTGTTCTTAGATTATTTGAATGAGGTGATACATTGGAGGAGAGGGATGAGGAGATGGTCTTGATAAATTTATAACTTAATTCAGTGAGAAATATCCTTCTCACTTCCAAAATGGTGCCTAAAAAGGATGTTATGAACTAACTTAGAAGTTGCTCCTCCCAAAGCTCTGATCTTGTAGAATACCTTTGGTATGAGGAATACATATGTTGAGGGGGTAATATCACTGTTCCAATAGGAAAATAAATGCATTTCTAGGCTATAAGGGGTTGAAAATAAAGCGTATATGTCACTTTAAAGGTTGAATTGTTGTGGGGGCAGCTGGATCCTTCCTTTGCAAATATGGTAACCATCTCAGTATTTCTTCACTTAAGATCTTGCTTTTCAGAAATTACAGTTATGTTCTGTAGATTTCTTAGATTATTTTTTTTTTAAACCATGGCTTGGTACCATTTCAGGTTCAATAAATGCGCTTATAAGAAGGCTGTATCAGGCAAGATTCCCTGCTTCCACAAAGACAGGATTTTGAGCTCTCAAGGACAATACAAGGTACAGGCCAGGCACAAGTGGTTCTGTGTGACCAAGGCTGGATCAGTTCATGACTCTAAATGACAAACTGACCAGTTCATCTAAAATCCTATCTTCAGAAAAAGCTTGATCATTTGGGTTGTATGCCAACTTTCATGCTGGAAAAATAGTATTGATTAGTCTTATTTCCTGCAATATTTTCCATATAGGCAGTGTGATTCTGAGATCTCATCCGTCCTATACAACTGAGGCAGAAAAGGCCTCAAATATACTTATTTGCATTTACTAACATTATCTCAAGTGTTTGTGTCCTTACCTAAGAACCAAAGTAGTGCCTTGACATGGCAATGCCTGTGTAGTGATAAGAGGAGAGACTTTCCATCAGCCCATAGCTGACTTGGGTTACTTCACATCCTGCCCCAGCACTACAGTGTGATGATTCACAAATCAAAAGGCACACTAGGATTAGTATTCTTTATCTGTGATTTCTGTGAACTAATCCAGACAAATTGACTTGAAAAATCTGAGGCACATAGTATTCCAAATGTTCGGTGGTGCCAAAGGACCTTAATTCTTTATCCCTTATTTGTACTGGTCTGGCATCTTAGGTTTTGGATATTACTTACAGGAACTTGCATGATTTTTTTAGGCTTGTCATAATACTAGGTTGCCATAATACAATGCAAGTTGTAGAGAAAGACAAACTAAGGATGAAGTCCAGTGATACTAACAACATTTATTCCAGTATGAGCTTACATGAGTCAGAACTCACTTCTTCATATCCTAGAGAGCAAATAATTGAATTCAGAGGAAATTGTTTCTGAATAAACATGCAATGGTTCATCCTGTATGTCCTGAATTTTTGGTTAGGGGGTTCAAGTAGTTTTCAGCTTTATAGATCCCCCCCCCAGTGTTGTCTTCTTTGAGCCACCCCTCCCTTATGGCTCCCCTGATTTGCCCTCCCTTCTCTTCCAGAGATTTATGCCTGTAGAATTAGCACAGGAACTGAAAGTGGATGTGGCCATGCTTTCTTTTATATTTACTTCCTTGTGTGCACAATCTAGCTGTGCATACCCTCACCTTTTTTTGGGGGGGGGAAGCTTTGAAGTGTGTCAAATAGCAACACAAGACCACAAGTTGGCATCATGAGGAAGTGGCATCTTAAAGTTCAGGAGTTACCACAAGGTGGGTAACAGTACTTCTTATCGGCTAATAGATGCACTTAGTGACTGTCAAATGGGGGGGGGGGTAGTTAAGGAGGACTGATTTGAGCAGGTTACTAAAATTTTCACATAGCCTTTCTCCTATACTTCCAAGTGTGTATTTTTCTGAAAACAAAATAAGCTAAATTACTCCGACCTGATTCTTGAGCAGCTTTTAAACATTTGTGAAATAGATACAGCTAGCGTGCTTTGTCCGATACTACTGAGTAAGTAGACTCTGAACTATCAGAGTTCAAAAGGAACTATCAAAGTATCCAAAAGGAAGAATGGTTCGGTAGTGCTCTCTGTTACCCCTTTTGATTAACCAAGAGACTGACTAACACAAGAGCCTGTCCTCCCCTAGTCAGAAATCTGAATGCAACAGCCTATTCCATTCCAGTGGATTCTGGTATCCAAGGAAAGTACCAACAGAAGCTGATATGCTGCTGCCATGCGTTAATGTGCATGGGTAGCTTTTTGTTTCATAGGGCCAATGTCCCTTAAAGGAAAAGGGTCGTAGTCTTGGGCATGCCCCTTTCTCTAGCTACATATGAAGTTGCCTTAATATTGGCTTGTATTTGACATAGTGAGTTAAGCACCAAATAGAGCACCAATTGCTGCTTAGGTGTTTACCAGGCTTCAGATGTGGCATATTAACAAGACTCTGTAAATTAAAGTATTTAAAAGGAGAGTAATTAAGTCTGCATGCTTAGGTGATTACCAATGGAGGTTCTTCGAAAGTACCTTATACATATTAACCAAGTCACAACAGGCTTGTGGGATAAAGATAACCAGATTGTACTCAAGAAAGTGCAGGTGTCAGTAGAGAATGGAAGGTTCAGTCTATCAGGGCTGGACTGGTTTTATTTATTTGTTATGCTTTGGATTAGCGGTGGGTGGGGAAGACTGGTAGGAATCAAGTTTTTGATTTTGTAATTTCTGCATTTTCTGGGAAAGTATGTGTATGCTTTAGTTGCTATAAGATTTAAAACACTGACTCATTTTGTTGCAAGCCAAACTCAAAACCTGTGATTGTACAGCTCCAAGTTTCTTTGCATTGCAGAACTATATCTACTTAGACAAGTGTGCAGTTGTGAATTTAATGGATTTCATTTGGTGCACATGAAGGGACTTCAGACGAACTGTGCAGAAAGGGCAGGTGGCTACAAAATTGTAAAGTGTTCCTGGGAATACGATCAAAAGTAAATACCTATCTGTCTTGTTGTTGTTGTTTTTTTAATCCCCTGAGAACAGGGTAGCTTTATTATTTTTTTGTTACACCTAAGGACTACAGAAAAGAAAAAGGGAAAGGGAAAAGTTAACCCAGGATACAGGACAGTAAATAAAAACCCACACTATAACTAAAAACCCAAGAGGGAGGGTCCTCAACAATTAGTATCCTGTTAGTATTCAAAACACATAACTTTTTGTTTAAGTCAATGTAATCGGAAGTTAGTAAGTCCGTGTTAGTATTCTCTCCATCGTCTTCTGTGTGTGCTCAGAGTCCTTTCATCTTCATCTTTGTTTGTAAATCTCAAGTTTATAAAGAGTTACTTTGGTTCTCTAAGCCGCAGGTCGTATGTTTGTTTGGCCTCGCAGGCTGCAACAGAGGACCTGGATATAGGTATTTTACCCTCTTGGCCCACTGTGCATCCTCAAGAAATTAAGAATCTTATACAGACCTTCGGTTCCAATAAAGCCCCAGGCTCTGATCTCATATGTGCAGACCTGATTAAGAGGAACCTCGAGTGGTGGGTTCCAGTTCTTGCTACTTTATTTACAACTATAGATAGAACTGGTAGAATTCCTAAAGACTGGGGGGTGGCAATAATAGTGCCTATTTACAAGAAAGGGAACAGAGCGGACCCTGTTAATTATAGGCCGATCAGTCTCCTAAGTATAATAAGTAAGCTTTACTCAAAACATTTACAGTGGAAGCTAAAAGACTGGATGGAGCAGGAAGACTTTTTGAGACAGGAGCAAGCAGGCTTTAGAGAGGGACGGTCATGTCTAGATCAGTGTGTGATACTGAACCATTTAATTTCCAAATACTCCACGAACTCTTTAACCTCATTGTATGCAGCTTTCATAGATTTTAAATCTGCATTTGATTCTGTCTCAAGAACTACCCTATGGGAAAAGTTGAAATCCTCTACAATAGATAGGCGCTTATTGTTTCTATTGAGAGCTCTCCATAAAAACACTTTTGTTAGGGTACGATGTAATCCTCAAGGTCATCTTACAAAGATGATCAGGTCAGACAGAGGAGTAAAACAAGGATGTATTTTGGCACCTCTTTTATTTAATATTTACATTAATGATATGGTACAGTTTTTGCACAAACTTGAAT